TATATATTATATATTATATATATATCTATATATATATGTATGTATGTATGTATGTATATATATATATATTTATGTATATTCATATATATATATATACATATACATATACATACATACATACATATATATATATATATATATATATACATATATAATATATATATATTTATATATTCGATATTTTTGTATCACGATATAAGCTCTTTCGTAGCTTTGCAATTGAGATTGTTATACCTCTCGCTTTTATGTATAATTTGCTTCTTTTTTTTTTTTGAGAAAACGTTTATTTCAGTTAAGAATTACTGCTTGCATTCAAGATCAAACTATCGCCTTCATGCTACAGAAAGATGTACGTATATATTAACACGCTTACTCTTGCACATACACGTACACTTATTCTCTCTCCTACACATTCACATACACTGACGCTTCCTATGCACACAATTCGTACGCATACGGACACGCATACACATACGTATGTATGTACACGAATATAAATACTTGCTCATATGTACACATATACACTCACACACAAACCGGTCGGTACGCATATTCATGCACATGCACATTTGTACGCAAACATACACATATACATGTATATACAGTATAATACGGTATACCATTGCCGTTCGTCATTCAATTCTAACCTAACATCATCGCGCTTCTGGACACTCGGTTTCTAACCGGTCACATTCGCACATCCGCAATCCGTCTGCATCCTCTTGTTTCTCACGAGTTTGGTCCACATTGCTTCGATGTAGTTGATGTCCTTTCCTGTACTTCCATTCCTAAATCGTGCGCCTACACACTCCATTCTATGGCATCACATCAACGCTTATCCGCATACGCAAATGCACCCCATCCACCTCTCGACGCTACCCAATTGCGTCACTCTCCTTATCCGCATTTGCAGCTACCACCAGTCTACTACACCACTCTGACTAGTCACATCACCCTCTTCAGCCGCATATGTCTCTTTCGTCCTACTCTACCCTAACACAATCTCATCGCTCTCCTTATCCGCATTTGCAGCTACCACCACACTACTACACCACTCGGACCAGTCACATCACCCTCTTCAGCCTCATATATCTCGTTCGTCCTACCGTGCCCTGACACAATCTCATCGCTCTCCTTATCCGCATTTGCAACTACCACCACACTACTACACCACTCACTCTGACTAGTCACATCACCCTCTTCAGCCTCATATATCTCTTTCGTCCTACTCTACCCTAACACAATCTCATCGCTCTCCTTATCCGCATTTGCAGCTACCACCAGTCTACTACACCACTCTGACTAGTCACATCACCCTCTTCAGCCTCATATGTCTCTTTCGTCCTACCTTGCCCTAACACAATCTTTGAAACTACTATCAGATTGCTGTCGTTTGTTCTGGGCGCTTCGAGTGCCGGCGGTGTTGGGTTCTTCTTCCTGCGCGAAGATATGAAAGCTAGCAATCGGTTTGTCTCAAAGCGCGTCCAGGAGATGAAGCACATGGTTGGAGAGGTAGGAATATATACATGTGTATGTGTATGTATATGTGTGCATGGCTGGAGAAGGAGGCAAACGACCATGTGCGTGACTGGTGTGAACTACACATTGGATATACAATCTGGACACATCGTATTGATTGTGGCAAGCTTTTTATATGTGCATATGCAGGCATCGGTGTATGTGCTCTACAGGGTGCGTTCATGTTTGTGTGTATCTGTAAAAACCAACTTTCACCGTTGGTGGGTCCTTGACTAGTCCGAGTGGTAACTGGTCTTGGTAACTCTGGCACGTACCACTATAGGTAAGCGAGTGTGACGCATGCCGTGATCACACAAACTATATTTCCATATATATATAGATATATATTTATATCTATATATTTATGTATCTATGTATCTGTGTATGTATATATATAAATGTATATATGCTTATATATACATATATATATCTATATATTATTTCACTTTTGTTATATATATATATATATATATTCATATATATATATATGTTTGTATACATGTATGTATATATATATATGTGTGTGTATGTATATGTTGTATATGTAAATGTGTATGTATATATATATCATTTGAAGCTGTCTAGAATGTCGAATGAGCATACACTAGCGAGGTTGTGCTCATTTCACTGATTCTTTACCGAATTTTTAAATCAGCTCGAGGATACCATGGGCGGCTTAAGGAGGCTGCAAGACGAAGTGGCTGAGATGAAGAGGAATACGGCAACACTCGAGGACTTCACCACCTTCAAAATAGAGCAGGAGAAGCAGATCGTATGTTATGTTGTGTTGTGTGTGTTGTTACTAAACGTGGTTGTATGAATAAACCTTCTTCACTTTTCTGTGCACCTTGCGCTCGGGAGTGTTGCCTGAGGATTATTTATACTGAGCCCTTTAACGGGTAGTTAATGAATAGTTAATGGGTAGATGTCCACCCTCGCCCAGTCACTTCCTGTATACACGTATGGGATCATCCGAGCTCTATTGACCTGGAAGCATGCCAATCCGTATCAGACGTATTTATAAGTTACTTGCAGCTATTGTCAGGAATCATATCATAGTGTCTTGTCTCCTGCCACAGACAAGTAACAAAGCTTCCGACGCAATAGATTATTTGCTCCGATTTCCTTTTCACCAAACAATGTGCAATCCTCTATCTGTGTTTGTGTACCTATCCTGCTGTAGATATGTGTCAAATCGATAAACTTAATGGGGTATCGCCCCGCCTTCCTACATTAACCAAACAATGGAAAATTCCCAATTTGTGTTTGCGTGCTTGTGAACCTCTCTTGCTATAGATAGGCGCCAAAGTGTCAAACTTAATGGGGTAATTACCCCGCCTTCATACATTGACCAAACAATGGTCAATCTCGTATCTGTGTTTGTGTGCCGGCAAGTTACCTCCACCTCCCTTAGATGAACAAATCCTCCCTAAAATAGATAACAAATCTGATCAAATGGCTTGTATTCAATCTTATGCACTTTGTTCGATTTTGTCTTATCCAGACACAACTGACCGCGTCCCTTGCCGAACACAAAAGCAAAGTGTGGGAGACCCAACAAGCAATGTTCAAAGCCTTAGAGACCCCCAAAGAAGCGGAAAAATAAGTAGTAGCGCTAAAAATAAAATTTAAATAGATACCGTGTTTTCCAGACTTTTTCCGTACACTCTTGATGCGATGGTCAGATATATTCATGTCGCCGGAAGTCGAGCTGTATGAGACTAAACGTACCCATCCAATCGTTTAAAATAGATACTGTGTTTTCCAGACTGTTTCCAACTGTTCCTAGTTCCTACGCTCTTGATGCGATGGCCTTGTCACCGAAAGTCGATCTGCATGAGATTAACGAACTCATTCAATCGTGCCCTTACTCGCATGCGCATTGGTTAAGTTCAACATATTTACTAAGGATAGAGAACATGGGAGCAGTATCTAATATTCACTAGAAAAAATCACTCTCAGCCAAGTTATCTTCCAAGCACATTTAATAGAATATTGATTTGTTTTTATTACATACGAGCATTTTATCTTGAAACCTGTCAAAAGAAATAATTAATCAATCGCCTAATTTATAGTTACCGTCCTCCCCTTCCACTCAGCCTCAGACAGTGTACGGGCACCTTCTCCTGCAATATCATATATGCTACTCTCATCATCATCCTGCCCAGACTGGTTGCCCTCAAACTTCGCCTTACTATCAAAGACAATCTTCCCGGCAACAACCGTACTAGTCCAAGCACTCCAGACGCCTCCCCTGTGCGATGCTACGTTATTCAAAAACGTACCCGAAAACGTAAGAGAACACCCCTTGGGCATAACATTCGACGCCATCACGCCGCTTCTTCCCTGTGCACGGTTGCCTTCAAAGTGACCACTGAGTTCAATCTCAGAGCCGACGTGTTGCTTGAGCACTCGGAAAGCACCCGATCTGGCACCATACCCATCGTCAATTGCCTTGTTGGACTTGAACCGTCCACTCATTATAACCTTGCCAACCACGTCTTGTATGTGTATGGCCCCCCCTTGGTTCGCTACATTCTCCGTGAACGCGGCCCTGAACTCTACGTTCCCAGCCACCCAGTCGAGATATACTGCACCACCCCCGGCGTGCCGGCTGGACTTGGGGTATCGAGCCTCGTTCTCTAAGAATAATCCATTCACAACCATCTCACTGCCTTCTGGGACGAAGATCACGGCCAGGGCCGCCCCCCCGGCATACCTACCCTTGATGTTTGAGATCATGCGCAAGTTTTTGAACACACAGCTTTCGTCGATGAAGAGGTTGCTGCTTTTGCCGATGAACACCCCAACGCCAGGCCTTTCACTCAGCATATCATATATCTGCACATTCAGTAGAGTCAGGTCAATACTTTGGTTGCCAGATGAAAACTCTGAGCCAAGAGCATGGAACGCCGCACTCTTCTTGTTGGGCATCCCCGTGAATGCTACATTCTCTATTGTGACCTTCTGTTTAGACTTGTGGGTTGGTTCGAGTATAGCGTTTGTCTTTGAGTTGAAACCGGCAACCAGAACTGGTTGCTTGTTGCCGCAATTGACTCCTATGAAGTCCAGATTGTTGCTGAACTGTACAGGACTGCTCACAGTCACCTCTCCAGTGATATAGATAGTGTCTCCGTCTCGCGCCACATCCGTTGCTTTAGATAGCGAGCTATAACATTCGCCTTTCAATGCCGCGCCATTCTTACACTCACAGACCTTAAAGAATCCTCCAGCAGCAGGCTGAGGTGATGGTGATAGATTGGGTTTTGGCACTAGAGCTTCACAGCACATTGTGATCGAACAGTGTGGGAAGGATCCAGCCTTGCTATCACAGAAGTCTTCGAACTCGCAACACTCCTTATTGCGAAGGAGAACATCTCCAGAGTCACACTTTATGCCGTCTCTATCACCGCACGTAGTCTCGTAGAAGGTGGGCTCAGGGCTGCGACTGGGAGATGCACTGGGATTAACGTCCGCATCACGCTCACAACACTCTTGTTTAGTGCACATGGGTACGCCATCGTCACATTGCCCTTTAAAGCGGCAACACTCCTTCTCTTCATCTAAAATCTGCCGGGGTCCACACGCCATGTCGTCTTCCAGGAACTTCATACCACAGTTGATATTATGATTTACTGGTTCGTAGTCAACATCTGGCTCTGGCACCGCTGATGGGGATGGTTCCAATTCGGGACTGAACACATAGTCTTTGCAACAGAACGGTCGCCTGCACTTGGGAAGGGTCCCGCAGTCATTACTCCACCGACAGCACACCTTATCGGCGTAGATGGGTTCGTTCCCACCGCACTTCCAGCTACCCGAGTTCTGTTTGATCTCACATGTGATCACTTTGGGATTTCCCCCATCGTATGAGTATCCAGAGTCTAGTATAAGTGCTCTATTTATAAGTGCTTTATTTGCTCGTGTACCACAGCAGTTGTTTGTGGTGCATTTAGGTAGAGGTCCGCAGTTGTCATGGTAACGGCAACATGTCTCATCCGGCAATAGAGAACTATCGCGGGGGCATACGATACCTACTGAGGCATCTTTGATGGCACATGTTATGACGTCGCGGTTGACAACTTGTGCTGTGATATGAGAGATGCCAACTAGTGCAGTGGCTAAACTGTATATGCTTTGAATCCTCATGGTGTGTTTAGTATTTAATTAATTCGTTAGTGATATACTATAGTTTCAACTACAAACTTATATATACAAATCGGAATGGCATTTCGTCATACCTACTCGACGTATTTAACTCCCAAGTCAACAGAATTAAGAATGTCGTCATCTGGCGACTGACCTCTCAGGCTCTCAAGTCTCAGGCTCTCACTCTCTCAGTCCTCAGAAATTCAGAATCTCAGATACGTAAATAACTAAATATGTATGTACTCACAGACTCTCGTCTCTGAGCCTGAGAGTCTCGCGGAAAAGAATCAGTCAGATCTGTGGACTATTTCATATTTGACTCTTTGAGAGCACAAAGTGATAAAGTAATACTTTAACAATCTAAATAATGAACAGATAAAAAGTCCTATTGGTGCACAATTAAAATAGATCCTATATTTTCCAAATATGCTTTTTTATAGTTATTTTAAACCAATTTTATCAACAAAATTGAGAGTGTACATTGCTTCCTTTAAAAAAAAAACAAATGTGTCAATACATGGCACTAATGGGCGGGCAGCCACCAACTTCCCATCCAATATCCATTCCATCCAATATCCATTGCATTCAAACTCAGTCTCAAGTCTCAACTCTCACTCGTGGGAGTCGTATGTAGCTGACACCGGAAGTACAGTCGGATACATATGTACACCTAACCTCAAGCCTGCGGAGAGCGGACACTTGGAATCTTGTGTGGAGTTGTGAGTTGTGAGTTGTCAGTACAGTCACAGTGAGGCTGAGAGGCCTAAGGCCGAAGCCTGTGTATATATTTTAAATTCAGTGTGTGTGTGGTTTGAGACTGTGAAGCCGGTGTATTCTAAATTCAGTGTGCGTGTGGTTTGCAACTCCTTTATTTCAGGCGCGAATTGGCGGATCGGAATAAAGAATATGCCGCCTCGATGCTCCCTTGTCCTGTTCCACTGGCGTCGGTCATGATATGAAATATAATTATGGTAAATAAGTGCCATTCGGTTGCAGTGTATTTTAGATCTGTAGTCTGCACTTTGCAGTGTGCGTTTACCTGGCCAGACTTCTACGTACATGTGTGCACCGTACGTGGAATCATATACGTTCCCATTACATCACTTTATCAAACACACTACTTGCACCATTTGTCACCTGCTACAGTGCACACTGAATACATAAACATGACAGCATAGGGAATCTACACACTATCCCCCTGAGTCTAGTAGACCCGCTTCACACACTCAAAAAGCGTAATGATAGCAACGAATAGCAAATCAAGTGCTACTGGCTTGTCACGCAACACTACGTAGATGGCGACATACGCTACATACACAGGCCAACTTAAATGGTTGAGCACGAATCACACGTAGTACAGCAACCACTGATGAGACAGTCAGATATATATCATTGTCACGATAGCAAGTCAATAAACGCATCTATTTTAAATATATTTACAGTGAAATACAAACAACACGAAAGTGCTGAAAATACATCGGTCCTTTTATGATATTTACAAAAAATATGATTCATTTCGACAATTCATTCAAATTGGATATAAACAAGGGGAACAAATGCTGTCGTTTTATATATCTGCTTCAACGAAACAGTGTTTATTAGTTCAACAAAATCCTACACTCCTCACCACACACAATCAGCCCCATGCCTGGCATACAATGAGGGTTTATATTCTTAGGTCTCTTGGGTTATATTCTTCCCGGTACATTTATAGTCCGGTCTTCACCGAGATGACCTTGATAAAGGAACAACGATCCGTTCTGTCACATATTGTGTAGAAAGAACTATGATCTTATCCTTATATGATGCCGCCGGGTCCGGTAGGTTCTAGTGTATGGGTCACTAAGGTGACAGTTGAGTATGTCCATTACCGAACAGCGTCTTGATACACGGCAATTATGTCAAATACTCTGCTTTTACTTGTCCCAATCGTTTGTGAGTACTGTGAGTATATTGCCTGATTTCGAAGTTTTGCTAGAGGAAGGCTTAGAGTACGAATGAACCAGCTATCTCCTTAAAAGAACAGGATTTATTGCACCTGGGTTGATCTTTGTATACCATGTCGTGTTTATAATTGTCAACGAGGGACGAGTTCAT